TAATAACATTAATTATAATAATAACCACTTTACACAGTTTCTTAAATCTTCTATAGGCGGTCTAACGGTGTAGAGTTAGTTCACTGCTTGTGCACATTGTGTCCGCTCTCTTTGTCTTAGTGCGCGCGCGTGCGTGATTGGCTCACGTTTGCAGCTCCTGGTGGTATGGTGACATCTGAGGCACAACGGGCTCTGAGTAGGCTGTGTACAGAAGCAGAGGGGACAGAGAGAGGGACTGGGAGAGAGGACAAGCGCTGGGCTGCTACTGCCCAGACTGGGGGGAAACACACCAGAGGAGGATGAAAAAGTAAAACCCTGAACCTGCATCAGCCATCTGAAGTTTGATTTCAATAACCAGAAGCAACAGCAGTGCTCCATGAGCGGAAAAACAAAAGGCAAAGAGGATAAAGACCATGCTGCCAAAGGTGAGTGGTGATGAATCAGAGTCAGATAGAAGGAAGGAAGGAAGGAAGGATGGATGGAACCTCACGCTTTTTTTCCTACATAATGAGAACAAAATAGGGAATATCTGGCAAAGCCATCTGCTACTTTGGTAATCAACCAGCTGTCCACTTATTCCCACTGTCCCTACATTGCAGAATTCAGATCCAATAAACGGGGCTACTTTAAATACTGTTGGACCTAGCTTTCAAAACGTTGGCTCTTAAAATTTTTTTTATAGATTATACTGCTGCAAACCCATTATAAATTACGGTTTGTCTGTGCGGGTCTTGGAGCTTTACAAGTAGGAGGAGCCTCGCAAGGTGTTAATTACAGTGTGTGCAAAAATGAAGCATCCAATATATGTGATCTTGTGTAATAACTAATCAATAAAGAGGTTTTTGATCAGATTTAATTTCAGGAGCGCACACACATATATCCATTCTGTCCTCCCTGGACAGCAATAAAATAGAAGAGCGATACACCACAATGAACTGGGAAACTATGATTGCCATGGAGACAAAAAGGGAGTTGGCTGCAAGCGGGGCGCGATCGTGCATATGAGTGTGTAGCACTGCACTGTGACCTGCAGTCCTTATTTTTTGATACCTGTATAACTTAAATAATAAGATAAGCTCAAAACACAAATATGTTTTTGATTCAAGGTCCTAGAATGAATATAGCCAATTAAATT